ACATATGTCATATTGGAGATTACCGACTGCGTATTGTGTCCGATTCCACACATTGAACTTCAATTACACTTAAATGACAACGAACGTTGAGGTCCCAACTGGACATTTTCAAGCTCTCAGTAAGTCATTTTCATACTTAAAAGATTCGGCCGATTCCAAAGTTAGCCCAAACAATTACGGGCACTTTCCAAATGAAAAAGACACAACGAAGGATCGTGTCCACTTTCAACTTATTATTAAGTACAAAGCGCCCAGGTAGATTGCGCTTCTACACGTTGACTGCGAAATTCGCATTGAAATCACATCTGACATTGGCTCATGTTCGGTGACACTCCAAGCGATCAGTATCGTGTTTAATTGAGATTCCACCGCTTCCATTTGTCGCACGAACAACCAGGACAGTGGTTCTGTGAAACAGGCTTGCACAGGGTGGCATTCATGCGAATGATGATGTTAGGTTCAGGTGATTCCTGACCAGTAGCTACTCAGAATAGCCGACGAATGCACTGGTCACTAAAACCAAAACACTCAATCATTACGCTAACTAACCTGCCGCCTGGTTCCCCATTGAAAAACATTCAAGACAATGCATGTTTACCGGGTCATACCTGCTTTCGTTTCGAAAGTTTTCAGTTGACCATCAATCGGTGCACAAACCTGGACGCCGGTCCTTGGAAATCGTTAGACGTTCTTAATGCATGATTCAACAACAAAGTCACAGGCATATACATAAAACTATTCCGAGTAAATACACAATGGGTACACGCAACCACATGTGACAAAAAATAGCCAATACCAACACAACAGTGAATCGAATGGGTCTAATTTCAAGTGGCGTCGATCAGGCAGAAAACAAAAGTACGGAACAGAGACAATGAGAGAGAGAGCGCGGAAAATTGAGAGGAATAAACAATCAGTCTTGTTTGTCTCCTCCTTCTCAAGGCCATACAACAGAAGTGATCAGCTGGTTAGCAAATTGTTGTCGTCAGAACCCAACAGGTTACATGCGAAATGCTGCGAAATGCTGATCCTTACAAACGAGGGCTTATCCGACGGGAACGGAACCATAACTGGAAAGAATAAATCAAGGAATGCTGTTGGATCCACCGTGTTCGCACCACAATTATCCGGCAGTCAACATCGCTCCATCCGCCTAAGCCCCGGACCCCAGTATCTCAACAGCACCAGTGTTGAAATGGAATGGTGAAGATCAAACAAATGAAAATCTACCTCTTTTGCTCTCTATTAAGTAGCTCTCATGTTCACCCACGATAGAAGTTGATGAATGGAGAACGGAAGTTTGGGTGTGAATAACTACTGAAGTATTTGACTGTTTTGATCGGCAACGAAACACGCAGAGTCCATTACAAAACTACTCAGGTGGGAGTCCATTACAGACGAAGCTTCAAATGTCATTACCGGTCTTTTGTTTGCCATGGTCGCAAATATACTCTTGAACACATTCGTATGTACAAATATTCCAGGAATCTGGTCCTCCTTTTCTTGATGGATCTCGTGCTCAAGAGTGAGAAAACCACATTAGTTGATCTGTATCTCCCTCAGTGAATGCCATTGAAACATTTCATCGGTTCATTCAATGAGCTTATCACCTTAGCCTGTTATTCAGCTGTGGATGGAGTTGAATTAAAGAGGAACACTTTGAAGAAGGTCATAAAACGAATGTATGCGGTATGTGTGTTTTAACACTCAGCTGACACAGCATTTCATCCATGGGAATATTTTCACGCTGGTCATATTAGAGTTCCCATTCACTCGTGATCGCACCGTTTCAAAACTTCAGCGCTCATTTCCCCGACATTGCTTTGTATCGACCACTCATCGTCATCTGTTCATGGGCCAATAGATGGGCCACATCGAACGATGATGGCAGCGAATCACGTGATCTCATTCAGCCAACCAAAAATGTATCCGCTTCTCTCATGAGCATTGTTTATACGACACAAACAACGAGTGGTTAATAATGTGACCAGCGCTAACAATGAACTGCGCTTCTAAGTTTGTAAAACTCAGTTTCCAGTGTTAGTTCAATTATACAGAATTATATTGAGTATATGTAACGGACTCCCAGCCCGAACGCTGGTGATCTGGTCGAGTGAATCGTGCATGATTGTGCCTGACTTGAAATACAGTCGGACTCAATCCCGATGAGGCAGAAAAAGCAATGATGCCATCAGAGTATCGTCAAATCACAGTTTTAGGATCACTGTCTGCGAACTGATGCCTACGGTTCAGGTGCCTTTTACGGTGAAATCTGACCAGCGTTTGACTGACTTGCACCTGTGCCCTTCACTTTTGAGCGAATCAAGTCGACCTTCTGTGAGCTCTTTGACTCTACCCTTTGCCATGCATTTCGGACGATCCCCTCTGTCCCAAAAGCTTTGATGACCCCAGAAATCCTCGTCCAATCCCGCCTACCTCATAAATCTAATTATCTCTCCGAGTGATTTTACGCACCCCATGTAGCCACTGTTTCAAAGTCGCATCCTTATTCATTGTAACTTAGCGAGTACTCGGGAAACATTCAAAATCTCTACTGCATATTTCACATTGGCCCAACTCAAATAAAATTATTAAGAATTATGTAAATAAAAAAGCCTCTCATTTAAACTGAGTACTGTGGAGCTATTTTACGAAGAACGTTCCGGTAATGTCGCTCGACCTAACTCTACCAATTCATATCGCCATTCCTCCTCAGAATGATGTACCACAACGCTTCACCAATCGTTGCCTCCGACTGCCTGCGCAGAAAGTTTCATCCTAATTATCAAATTCTCATAAAGATGAAATTTTCTTCCTCAATTTCGGATACGCCATTAGACTTCTGATGCTTCACAGTGTTTTTCGCTATCAGGATGGGGCACCGAAACTTTATGTAGATGCATGAGTATCCAAAGCAGACCAGCAGATCAGATCTAATGCGAAAAATTCTACACACTCCCTTCAGATAAAGATCAACAAAGATATGCGGAGGACCAATCTAGTGCCTCTAAGTCAAGGCATTTAACTGGCAAATCACAAAGGACAGCATATGAACCCCTCTGGTTATCACTTATTCACATGCCACTTCAATGGACTGTACTGGCTAATTTTTCAAGGAGAGCTCGGATAAGGCCATCTTGCCACACAGCAGATTTACGTTGCGTGCTCATCACACTCTATCATCTTCATTTTGGTCTCTACTCTAAACTACCACCACTTTCCAGGTTGTACCCAAAGACAAAATTCTTGGTAATCCTTTCAACACAAACGGATGCACTCAATGCATTACTCAAACAAGCAAGGATTTAGAACCCGTTCCCGAAGCGGTCAGAAATGCGGTTTCGAATTTTAGGGGAACCCTTGTCCAAATGGAGGCTCCTCTCACGACTTACGCAAACGACAAATCCAGTAGTACAATTTTTCCGCAAAATATCACAAAGTGGTGGGAGCGCATGGTTTTCGATTCTCTGATACTGTTTCGCACCCCACTCGATGTGTGTTTTGAGCATGGACCAGTTCATCACCTGGCCAACCTACCAAACTACTCGTGAGTAGGCTGTGTTCATCCTTAATGGCGACATATCGACCGAGTTATTTCACATCTACACGGTGAGCTAGGTGCGCGACTATAGACCTATTTCTCATATTTGCCTTGTTGCATAGTGCAATTTTGTTTGTATCTGTGGGTTTCATTTGCTTGTAACTACCCACAGGGAATTTTTTCTAAGCATGCAGCATTTCTAACTGAAGTTCAGCATACATGCATATTTTGGCGAATATACTGACATCTCGTTGATAAACCTGTAGAATAAGTCACACCTCACAACTATAGCCAAGGAAAAATAGAAGGTTCTGTCCTAATCAACTCTCGGAACACTTTATGTGCCGCTGGGTAAGGCACGCAGTTCGCTGGTTCGTGTTCAACCACAGTATCTCGACTGAGTTCCTCCAGGAACGGCAAAGCTGGCTGTGTCACAGCCTTCCCGGTTCCAGCAAGTAGCATGTCAGCTAGGCGCCTCAAAAGTGTTAGTGCAGACAGACAACGATTTACCCCTCTAATTCCTCCGAATTTTCCCCAATTAAAACGAAGACCATGGTAACCAATGGGAACTCGTTATTATCGATCAATCGGACACTTCCTCATGCTATGATTTGATCACACTACTTCCAATCAGATTTGCATCTGTGAAGTGTCCCAAATCATGGAGATATGTACGTGACCAAGACCAACTTATCGCCACACACATCCAATTCTTTTGGGACGCCTGACCTCGGAGGGTGTGTGATCAACGCTCACGGTACAATCGATTTAGTGCAGGATGATTCGGCTTCCGCTCCCGTTCTGGGTTTTAATTCAAATTTCCCGCTCCGTCATCCTATGCCCAAATTTCGAACTACAGGTCAAACAATTAGCAACTGCACGTTGCGAGAGCCGAACACGTTAAAGCTGCAATGATGTAATACTGCACTGCAACCAACTGTGATCATTGCCATGTCGAGCGTTATCGTGGGTTACTTCGTCCAGCTTCCCGGCCTATGCATTCATATATGTATGTACATATGTATGATGTGATCGTATGACTGTCCCGAAATACTCCACTTTTATTCCATAAATCAAACACAATCGAGTCATTTTCATTAGATGTGAGACCTCACTGGATAAACTGACCGCTGTTTGTAAGATACTGCAATTTATGAGGTAATCGGCTTGGCAGTTCTCACAAATGGCAAAAATTAATGTTATTTCGATGTGTGTCCCCGGTGCTTGCTTGGGGTTCATTTCCAATGCCCATATCTACTTCCATAGGTATGTATTGGGAAGTGACAAGAGTCCTCTGAGCGGAAAAGTTCTAGAGTGCTTTTCCACAAGAGAAATCGATCACCGGAAAACTATGACATGTGTGTCGTGTAATAATTGCACTCTGAGGCAACTGAAAAACCAGCAAGAACAATGAACCGCCGGAACTACAGAGCTCAAGACTTCAGGAGAAACCAGGTGAGCTAGCCATAAAAGAATTGGAAATACTCTAAGCAAACCGATGCGCCAACTTTATCAGGGTGGGTACCCAAACAAAAAATTAAAGGACCAAATAACTGGCGGACATGAGGAAAAAAATATCCAAAGAATCTCGCGAAGATCGAACCACAATGCGATCCGATTCGGAGAGAAACCAATCAAATCAGCGGAGTAGCTACCGAAGATGGACGGTATCGGGGTAGGCAGTCGAATCAAAAGAACGTTGGCCACGGTGCAACACAGGTCACAAGCGACCCAGAGAACTCGCAAAAAGACTGATTCCCGACTAAAATGACAACGTTAGCAGATTACGGATACTTTTGAAATACCACATAAATGCATGCAGGCAAAGCAGGAGTACTCACCCAACAGTGCACTAGCATTGTCTCTGCTTTTGGTGACGACACATTTGCAAGTCGATGGGCAGGCTAGGTGAACAGATTGACAGCTACCTGACTAACCGCCGAGAATTCAAGCGGTATCGTCAACCCTTTGGCGAGCCCGGTGCCAGACGTAAGAGTCAAATGGTTTTTGAGGTGCCAATTGTGTGGTTCGTTCCGACAAGCAATTCATTGTTCTGAGACTCATCGAATGTATGTGAGGAGGGTCAGCTGGCTCATTTGGTAATTTTCAGCCCTCAATCTCTAAGTGAACCAAATCTATGCTGAAAACCTGAGAAGCAATGTAAAGTAGTTTGAATCTTACTGAGATTTATTGGCAATGCGCATCTCACGAAATTATGAGACATTTCGAACCGGCTAGTAGTTCAAATAACTGACCGTTCGACCGGGAACGGCAGGTCAGCAGCGTCCATACTACTTTGAAAACGGATTTGGCTTTGAAAAAGTGGTTGAATGGGGTGCGTAAAATGATTTGAAGAGATAGGTTGATTCATGAAGAAGGTGGGATTTGACGAGGTTCTCCTTGGTTATCAAAACTGCTTTGACCGACGGGATCGTCCAAAATGCCTGGTAAAGGGTGGAGTCGAAGAGCTCACAGAAGGTCTACTTAATTCGCTCAAAAGAGAAGGGCGCAGGTACCAGCCAGTTAAATGCTCCTCAGGTTCCACCGTAAAAGGCGCCTGAAACGCAGGCATCAGTTAGCAGACAGTGATGGTAATACTGTGATTTGACGACACTCTGATGGCATCATTGCCTTCTCTGCTCCACCAGGTTTGTAGTAACTGAATCCGACTGTATTTCAAGTCAGGCAAAATCAGGCCCGATCCACTCGACCAGATCCTCGATCATCAACTCCGATGGTGCGGTGAATACCAACATTACATCCCTGTAGATGACTTGCCTACATACTATCTCATGGGGATTTAGGCCAGCTGACTGTCTCCGTTTTGTCCAGAATAGATTCAAAAATTCCATTATTGAAAGACATTTGTAAGTGGAAGTCATTCATTTCGCCGTTGAAAGAAGGTCGCTGTTACGAGGACTGAATCCACGTAAGACAGCACTTCCGAGAGAGTGATGGACATGAAAAACTAATCCGACTCAGGAAAGTAACAAAAATGCCCCTCAGATTATCACAATTACTGGTGAAATTATTCCACCGACTGTGATTGTTTGGCTGCCTGTAACTTCCGACCATAAAATGAATTGGGGGGGGGGGCGCACAGCTTCCACTGTTCACTGGTAGAATTCGATAACTGGAATTAACCGCAAGCGTGAGCATATCACCCGATTCAATTGATGGGACCAATGCGGGCGTACGGCCAGGTACTTTTTTCAAGTTTTCCGAGTTGTATAGCGGCACAGCTGCACTGTTCACTGGTAGAATTCGATAACTGGAATTAACCGCAAGCGTGAGCATATCACCCGATTCAATTGATGGGACCAATGCGGGCGTACGGCCAGGTACTTTTTTCAAGTTTTCCGAGTTGTATACTGGAAAAATGTCTACTCGCCAAGTGACCCAGTACAGCTCTGTGTGGCATCTATACTTATAAGTAGTTATAGGTGCACGTGCAATCCAACTTCTACCCGAGATATTTGTTCCGACTTGACAAAGGTTGCAGCAAAGCGGTCATGTTTTGTCTACACAAATCAGGTCTTGGTCGTTGCGATCGGAAAAATAAAGTGTTGTTGAAGTTTTCCGTCTAGAAACATTCTTATGGAAGGCGGCTGGGAGTCTGCTTCGCAGTAATCATGGTCCCTAACCTGTTCTAGTGAATGAACGCCATAACTACTGTGCAAAATTCACTGAGAGAAAATTCCAGACCACTTATTCAGTAGTTTTGTTCGCAGAGCAACCCTAACCGAAGCATCTGGGCGATCCATTGCTACAGATGTTTACTTGAGACCACTGGTTTTTATTGCCATCGACGTGGCTTGCCAGTCAAACTAACGAGGCGATTATTCTGAACGATGAAAGTTGATTTGATTGTTTATTCAAATGATTTCCTCAGCCTCCGTCTAGTTTCTCGAGAAAATTTGGTGTTGTTCAATTCGAGAAACACGGTGCCCAGATTACGACATAACAACTCACATCAATGTGACATCAATGTGACATTTCACATAAAAAGTATGATGTTACAAAGGCAATTGCGACAGATTACAACTTGAGTGCTTTTCAGTTGTCGGTATCATCGGATTTGATTTCCACTCATGATTTTTATGTCTTCACTAAAATTGCAAATTTAAGCCTCCATGTAGACACTAAATGATGTGTGGTGATTCGATCACCAGCGTTCGGGCTGGGAGTCCGTTACATTTACTGAATATCCTTCTGCGTCTTTGATACCTGACGTTTACAAACTTAGAAGCGCAGTTCATTGTTAGCGCTGGTCACATTATTAACCACTCGTTGTTTGTGTCGTATAAACAATGCTCATGAGAGAAGCGGATACATTTTTGGTTGGCTGAATGAGATCACGTGATTCGCTGCCATCATCGTTCGATGTGGCCCATCTATTGGCCCATGAACAGATGACGATGAGTGGTCGATACAAAGCAATGTCGGGGAAATGAGCGCTGAAGTTTTGAAACGGTGCGATCACGAGTGAATGGGAACTCTAATATGACCAGCGTGAAAATATTCCCATGGATGAAATGCTGTGTCAGCTGAGTGTTAAAACACACATACCGCATACATTCGTTTTATGACCTTCTTCAAAGTGTTCCTCTTTAATTCAACTCCATCCACAGCTGAATAACAGGCTAAGGTGATAAGCTCATTGAATGAACCGATGAAATGTTTCAATGGCATTCACTGAGGGAGATACAGATCAACTAATGTGGTTTTCTCACTCTTGAGCACGAGATCCATCAAGAAAAGGAGGACCAGATTCCTGGAATATTTGTACATACGAATGTGTTCAAGAGTATATTTGCGACCATGGCAAACAAAGACCGGTAATGACATTTGAAGCTTCGTCTGTAATGGACTCCCACCTGAGTAGTTTTGTAATGGACTCTGCGTGTTTCGTTGCCGATCAAAACAGTCAAATACTTCAGTAGTTATTCACACCCAAACTTCCGTTCTCCATTCATCAACTTCTATCGTGGGTGAACATGAGAGCTACTTAATAGAGAGCAAAAGAGGTAGATTTTCATTTGTTTGATCTTCACCATTCCATTTCAACACTGGTGCTGTTGAGATACTGGGGTCCGGGGCTTAGGCGGATGGAGCGATGTTGACTGCCGGATAATTGTGGTGCGAACACGGTGGATCCAACAGCATTCCTTGATTTATTCTTTCCAGTTATGGTTCCGTTCCCGTCGGATAAGCCCTCGTTTGTAAGGATCAGCATTTCGCAGCATTTCGCATGTAACCTGTTGGGTTCTGACGACAACAATTTGCTAACCAGCTGATCACTTCTGTTGTATGGCCTTGAGAAGGAGGAGACAAACAAGACTGATTGTTTATTCCTCTCAATTTTCCGCGCTCTCTCTCTCATTGTCTCTGTTCCGTACTTTTGTTTTCTGCCTGATCGACGCCACTTGAAATTAGACCCATTCGATTCACTGTTGTGTTGGTATTGGCTATTTTTTGTCACATGTGGTTGCGTGTACCCATTGTGTATTTACTCGGAATAGTTTTATGTATATGCCTGTGACTTTGTTGTTGAATCATGCATTAAGAACGTCTAACGATTTCCAAGGACCGGCGTCCAGGTTTGTGCACCGATTGATGGTCAACTGAAAACTTTCGAAACGAAAGCAGGTATGACCCGGTAAACATGCATTGTCTTGAATGTTTTTCAATGGGGAACCAGGCGGCAGGTTAGTTAGCGTAATGATTGAGTGTTTTGGTTTTAGTGACCAGTGCATTCGTCGGCTATTCTGAGTAGCTACTGGTCAGGAATCACCTGAATATAACATCATAGTTCTCATGAGCGGCGGCCGGTGAAAGCCTGTTTCACAGAGCCACTCTCCTAGATGACCCTATGGATGCAGTGGAATCACGATACAGATCGTTTGAAGGGGCACCGACCACGCACCAATGTCAGTACTCTGTAAACTGGTGGAAAGTTGATACGATCCTTTGTTGTGTCTTTTTTATCTGGAAAGTGTCCATCGATGGTTGACCAGGCTTGAGAATATGCCGAAACTGCTAAGTATAAAAATGACTTACTAAGATCTTGGACATGTTAACATGAGAATTTAACGTTTGTTTTCACTCAATGTGTGGAATCGGACACAATACGCAGTCGGTAATCTCCAATATGACATATGTCAAAATGTTGACTGTTATTGACTGGTACAGCGCAGAATTTAGATCGATCCAGTGATCCTCCATAGCAAAAGAACTGACCAGGCAAACTGTCCAACGCATTTTGCTTGGCATCCACCTGATATGTATCGGAATCGGGTACGCTCAACGGCTATACGCGACCTGAGAATTCCCCTGTTATGACGCGAGCCCAACCACTCCTAGCGCAGTGAGAGAACAAGACCAGACCTTCAGAAGAGGCCTTTTACTGCCTCAGCCAAAGGCAAATTACAGTGAGAACAACATCGTATATATAGATTTCGGGCGACCTTGGGGAGCGATAAATCAGTTAATGCACACAAAGTATAACTGGCCAATAGGAAAACAGTGCGGTCTTTTTGGATTGGGGTGCAACATGCCGGAAAAGGCGCGCATTTTGCTTGGCATCCATCGGAGCCTTGATAGGTGACAGAGATTTTGGAATAATTTATTCCAGAGAAGCGTCCTTTTGAGGTAACCGTCAGATACCTCGAGTGTTTTTGAGGCACTCTCGTTGCATTTGGGACCAAAAAATCTTCATTTGTTCGAAAGCGTTTTTGGTGAACTTCGTGATGTTCAACTTTTTTCGTAACTACCAGTTGTGAAATCTGTCAATGTCTATACTGAAGTCGATGGTTTCCCACCATCAATCAGCCATAATTGTACTTGTTGTCGTCCAGCTAACGACAGACTGCTTCCGAGAGACCGTTTCTCAATATATCTGCTGTTCTGTTTCACATACCGTGTCTTTCAGTCTTCAATGTGTTGATCGAAAGTCAACCTTGAGGTTGCCTCAGTCACACATGAGAGTTTGACTGGACGGGAGGCTCTGTTGGTCCTCTCGAGTGCACCAATTTTGTTTCCCTGTAATTCTACCCATTTCGCATTTCTCCACCCCTATATTGGCTTGTACAAGCAGACAGTAGAGATAAGATCCAACTTACAACCTTCAGGAGAGTAACCGTTTGAGACCGTTCGTTCAAGTGATGGAATATTACCACAAATCCATCCAAGAAGCCTGTTTATATTTCTAGCACGTTTAACTTGTGTATCGTGAATGTTGAAAACCAAACATTTACCCTTGTTCTTTATCGAACGAATGCGATTTCCAATTTTTGAGAAAGTTTTCTCATGGCTATGTTCTATTCTCATATGTTACGAAAAACATGTTAAGATGTGAGCAAAAGAACCACATTGGCTTACCGTAGATTTCTATCTCCCTTTGTTCGAAGGTTTTTCGTAACTACCACTGGACAAATTTGTCGATGTCATCTGTCTGGGTAAAAACAAACTGCTTCCGAGAGGCAGTTTCTCAAAATATCTGCTGTTCTATTTCACATGCTGTGTCTTTCAGTCTTTAATGTGTTGATTGAGCGTCAGCCTTGAGGTCACCTCAACCGTACATGAGAGCTTGTGAGTGAACGGGATGATCTGCTAGTCCTCTCGTGTGTACCAATTTGGCTTTTGTGTAATACGATCTATTTCCAAGTTCTCCACTCACCTATTGACCTGTACGAAATGACAATGTCGTTGAGATATAATATACCACTTTCTTCACGATTAACGGCCAAAAGTTCCAGGACATGTTCTTTGTTCGTTAAGAAGAACATGCCTTAAACTGCGATTAGAAGAACCACGTCGGATTGGATTATAATGTTCTGGGTGTTACTATGCTAGGAAATCACGAATTGACCGAGATCGGCACTGGTCACACATCGGACCCCACGTAATATACAAAATCCTGTCATTGTCATTAGCGACCCCTTTTGTGACTTGAGCAAATAAACGTGAGGATCTGATGGAAGGCCATTTGTCACTACAATGCTTTAGGTTCTGTGAAACCAAACTGTCTGGAATAAGAGTAGGATAGTAATGTTCTTCCTTGATGGCCTGAACACACATCCTACATTTGAAGTGTTTTTACCGAAAAACAAAGCGTAGTTGTCACACAGTCGAATGTACAAAATGGTTCCTGAAATCCAACAAAATTTTACGCAGAGGTAAACTAACTGATTGTGAAGTCAAGTGATGTGATCATTTGCAATGGGCATTTCGTCCTGTCGGTGAAGCCAATCTCTGCTCAAAGTCCGCGGTGCACTACAGGTCAGCTGTTCCGTTCCTATTAGGAATAAGCAGCAGTACAGCTCTCAACCAACCCAGAGAGTTTCGAATCCGAGATCTTCCGGCTGGTGACTAAGCACTCAACCGTCTGATCAAGAATGATGATCATCGGTGTGACTAGCTCTTATCAGGACATCCTTCAGTCATAGAAAACACATCTCGTGGTCATGTATGGACTGGCTCCTTGAGTTGTGACTTTTAAGGAAGAAAACGTATCTCCAACGAGAATGGAAGAATGTACTCAGCTTCTCGGTTTCGCAGAACAGATCGGGTTCATCTACAGGCTGAATTGTCCATTGGAAAATATTGCATTGCTTCACAGTGAATCTTCCGGATATGCTGGGGACGATCCGCCGAGTGAACAATAAAATTATTCGATTCTTTTCAGTCGGAGAACAACTGAATGTTCTTCTTATATGGATGCATTGCGAGAAACTCACCAACCCAAAAATGTGACTGAACAGAAAAGGACCAAATATCCTTCTCTTATCGTGAACGGCTTAAGTTCAGAGCCACCTGTCCTCTAGAAAATTTCCGACACCTGTTTGTTGACCAGTCAGTGTTTTTTGCGATCGATATTGTGGAACACGGCCCAAAGGATTCCTTGTTTTCCTGTTTTTATCACGGTAGTGTTTATCGGTTTAGTTAACACACGAATGTTGACGATTCCAACAACGGGTATATCACACTCATTGTGAACTTAATCCCTAATCGTCACGGTTGTCATTGTTATTTTGGTGGACAGGAAAATATGATTAAAGTTAACGAATCTTCGTCGCTGTGTCTCGCTAAGAGTATAAATATGCACGTACTAGCAATGACAGGGAAGTTGTCGAAATTTGAAACATGAAGCTTCTAGTGTTGTGTCTGGTATGCATCAGGACAACGGTCGCCCTCGACTACAAAGACTGCGGTAGGTCACCTGGCATGAACATTCTGTTTTGCATTCCTAATTCGAACATTGGAATATTTGTTCAGGTGACACACGCTTAGTTTATTAAGAGACGCACGCGTAGTCATTTTGGCACTTCGTACTAGTTAGTGAATATGGAGACAAAAGT